AATATGTGTTGAAAGCTGATGAATAATGGAAGGTAGGAGGAAAGAGGTAAGGGATAGTAATGGAAGGGGCTGAACTGACCAAAGTAAAGTATACTCACAGTGGGGATATATGAAAAAACCCTTTTGAACACTGGCTTAGAAATTAATAACAAAAAACAGGACTATAAAATGAGCTCAGCGTGTGTGGGGTGGGTACTTGTGCAAGGGGAGAGATTGAATGAAGTATATGAAGGTAAGGGAGTATATGAAGGTGATGGACTTCATATACAAATATGAAATAGAACAATGAATTTCTTGTTAAGTGGAGCTGGGAGGGAGTGATCTAATGAATGTGCAACATAAGCCTATTCAGAGCTATCACACCACAATGAATCTCTCCTGTACAAAGAATATATTCTAATAATAATGAAGGAAAAAATAAGTAAGCAAATACCCTACATATAACATTTTTAATGGCCTCTTGATGAAGTGGAGGTGAGAGAGGAAAAGAGAGTAATAGAGAGTGAATAATATTGAAATACAATGCATCTGTGTGTGATGGCAGCATAACAGGATGCATTGAAATCTGGTGAATAATAGCAAAGCAGGGTGGTAGAGAAAGAGTAAGTAATAGAGATGGTTATCTTATTTAAGTACAATGTATACATATGTGAAATACCAAGGTGAAACCCACTGAGCAATCAATATGCACTTAAAAAATAAAGGGCAGGGAGGTAAAACAGGTCCTAGGGGTCAGGGATTTGTGGTTGGGGAAGGGTAAATGGAAAGGGTAAAGGAAAGCAAATATGGTGATGTATTTTTGTATATGTATATGAACTAGAACAATGAAACCTGCTGAAATTGTTCTAAAAAGGGGGAAGTGGGGATAAAGGAGAATGATGGAGATGGTGAATCTAATTAAGATATATTGTAAGCAAATATGTAAATACAGCAATCAAACCTCCTTGTACAATTAATACATACTAATAAAAAACATAAAAGAATGGCCCTTGGATGGACTTTCCTTGTAGGGAGTAGTCTCTGCCACCTGTCATTTTCAGCTCCTTTAGTTGACATGAGATGACTGGGAATGGATTAGTCAAGAGGCTAATATGATCAATATTTCTCAGACTCTTGAAGAGTCAACACCCCAAAGTAATTACTTTCAAGACAGAGATCAGCAAAATAAAATGGAAAATTGTGTGGGATGCTGTGAACAGATTTCAGTATGCTATTGCATGATGGTGGATCACAGAAGGGTAGCAATGAGGCTGCCTGGATTTCTCCATTGGGAAGCTGCAGAGGAGAGAATGTCTATGGTAACTGTGACCTCTGAAGGTAGCATGTCTTGCCCACCCTCCATGCAGGAGAAGAGGATGGCCAGTGTACTCCTGAGTGACAGCTGACAGGAGCGGAAACCCTTGCCTTGAGGAGGTGTGCAGGCTCCCTGAAATGTCTCTCATGAGGACGGTGGCTACACAGAGGTCTTTGTTGATGGGCAAGGGAGGCAGCAACACCAAAGGAGCTCACTGGCTAAGAAAGAACACTTTGCTGATTTTGCCTTCACCTTTTTCTTTCACTCCAACCTTGAGGGAATAGAAACTAAAGAAAAAAAGGGAAGGCAGAGAACAGAGGAGGCCACACAGACCTTACTGTGGCAGGTCAGGCCTGAAGTGCAGAGTGCAAGAGAAGTGAAGATTAGTTTACTCAGTCTGCAGTGGGATGTGACTAACAACTGAACATGGCCCAAGATTCTTGTCGTTTCTTCTCAAATAGCTCTAAATGATAGGTTCAGGAATCCTCCAAAAGGCCCACATCCTTAAGCCTCTTTGATGCTCTTTCCTCTCCTCTTTCTCTACTCGGAAAATGTCTATTGAGGTAGGAAAACTTGTATTATATCGTGTACCATCTGCAAAGTCTCTGGTGTGTGCCAGATGCTTTTATTTGTGTGTAGTGCTGAAGCTTTCAAGATGCAATGGTAGGAAACCTTATTTATTTCCTTTCCCCACCATACCTCCTTTCCAAGAAGTAACAAGCAGAGAATCATGCAACTTCCTGAATGGAAGAAGGACGGGGTGGGTAAAATGTAAAATAAAGAGAAAAAATGTCAATAATTGCAAAACTTGTTCCACATGGTAGTCATTCTAAAACCATGAATGACCAAAGCTGGTGCAGTCCTTTCTGTACCATAAGCATACCCAGCCCTCCTCCCACACATCTGTAAGCATGCTGGGACCTGAATGAAGGCTTTACTGTGTATAGCCATGGGTGGGGGCTGCTGTTTCTGTCTGTGAAATCTCTGCGCAGTAGGGCAGAGAGGGTTTGGATCACATTCACTATTAAAGTAATGCAAAAACCGTGACAAATGAAACACTTCATTCTCTTTGTTATAAGCACAATAGTCTCGGCACAGCTTCTAGTACAATACATGAAAGTTTTGTTTCCACTCAAAATAGAATGACACAGAAAGAGACAGGAAGTGTCAAGCAGCTTTCAAGCTCAACTGATGTATTTTTGCCATTTTCTTGAGACAGAGTATTGCTATGTAATCCAGGCTAGACTTGGACTCAACTTAGTAACCTGAAGAATGACTCTTCCTAATACTTAGGATCTGTGACAGCAGAAGAATACAAAGTGTAATGCATTATTATGAATTCTGAAATGTAGTGAAGTGTTTTGATAGACATTTCCTCAATTTAACTTTATTCCTAAAACTTCACACAACATCATCATAATGCACCATGAGTTTTTAAAAACTGGTGATCCTAGGAGTAAATACTGTATTACAATTTTTCTTGCTCCATAGGAAATACTATATTTGCATTGTCATGGAAAGATCTAATTAAGAAACATGGATCCAAAAAGTATAGAAATGAAAATAATCATAAATGTATGTCAATAAAATAAGTAATAAAATATTATGTAATATTTTTAATTCCATGATATTTATGGTATTTTTTTAAATTGTAATTTTTTTCTAAATATACTTTTGTGTCTATTTTCAATTCATAATTTTGTTTTCTTCTTTAAAAATGTGTCTGGTAAGTTGAAATCTTTATAAAACATTTATCCTCCTCTGTACATTATCATAAACCTTTGGAATTCAATTGTGGGGGAGCAGGGAAGCAGAATGCTCACCAATATTGTGAACTAGTTATTTCGCCATTTGACCTCCAGAGGGTACTGTTGCCTGAACAGGAAATGACATTATATAGATTAGAATAAATTCATAAAAACCTTCTCTACAATTTGAAGAACAGTTCTGCCTGAACATTTTTTTAGACAGTATAATAAGTAATCTCAGATGCAGAAACAGGTAGATTGTCAAGAATGTATCTTCCTAACAGACCCTTCAATGTACTCAAGAAGATTGCATTTGAATTCCCTGTTATTCCTCCTTAACTTAAGAGCCACTTGAGTCACCTTCCCAGTGATCAAGTTAAATTCATTTACTGGGTGTCTCCCAGAATGAGTGCATTGTTTCCTCCCTGCTCTCCATGACTTTGGTGTGCATCCTTGGACTTCAGGAACTGCTATTACATACTGACTGCCGTCCAGTTCCCTATCTGATCCTCTCATCATTGGAGTCCCACAGTGTAGAGCTCCACACAAACCATGTACGATGTGCAGATGAAGGGACCAGGATCTTAGTCTGGTTATTTTCAGGAAGTTGGTGTGTTTGTGAATTGTACCAAGAATGTAGAAACTTGGGAAGTGCTTAGCTCCTGTGGAGATAGATCTTAGTAACTGTTAGTTTCCCATTTTGCACAGGAAGGATTCTGATTGCTGAAGGACAGCATTTTAGCCTCAAGAGTCAGGATTATAGAGAGAATTCAGCTACGGAATTCTAAACAACCTGGAGTAAGTTAGTTATTCCAATGCCATTTGAGACATTGTTGGGCTGAGAAGGCTTAAACTGTGTGAGTGTAAGGCAAAGCAGAGATTTTCTATACATTATTAATCACATCTCTCAAGCAGTCAAGAAGCCCAGGAAAATGAGAGGGTTGTTTCATTTTTCAAACTGCATTATCTCCTAGTTTTTAACCCAGTTCCTTGCCTGTAGTAGGCTGAGGTCCTCTGATAGACAAGTGTCCTCAAAGGACTTTAGCTCACTCACTGAACTCAGTGAAGCTGGGAAGCTTAGTTAAGTCTCATTTAGCAATATGGACAAATTGAATGTTTCAAAAATAATGTAGTAGGAAGAAAGAGAGGCCTTTTGTACCCAGTGATCCAAGCAGCAGACATTCTAATTAAACACAAAATCCTCCCAAAGATCCAAGTGTAGCCTTGCAGTTGATGATTTTCCATGAATGAACTGCTCCTTCTTTATCACACTTACACAAGTTAGCTCTCTCTTTTGCTCCATCCCCCTAGTTTTTTTTTAATTGAACCCAGGACTTCACATATGCCAAGTTTGTGCTCTACCATACATGCCAACCCATTTTTCTCCCTTCAAATTCAGTTTCTCTAATTCCCAATATCAAATTTTTATTCTTTAGCAGCCTTTATTTAATTTTTGAACAATTCCTTGCAGTGCCCCAGTGGGCATTTACAGCATTTCCTGATAACCTGATGCAGTTTCAAGGACAAGGATCAAGTATGTGGAGCAGCAGTTTCCTAGAGCCTGAAAAGTATCGGTAGAATATTTGTTTTATTTGTGTGTGTTTGTGATTAGTTAGTCCTCTAAATGATGGGGCTCTGGGCAGGCACCCTCCTGCCAGTCTAAGGCCCAGATAATTGCACATCTCTGTTCATTCCACTCAAATAAAGGTAATTTTTCAAAGATCACATAAGAAGCCTCCTTTTCACAGGTTTTAATAGAATAAGGACCTTTCTCTCTCCCCTCTCCCTCCACCACACTCCACCCAGACTCTCAGCCAGGTCTGGGTGGGTAGGGGCTTCTGCACAGGGGCTGTGAAGGAACTCAGCTGATTGGCTGCAGGAGCAGAGACAGTTCAGAGCCAAGTCCTCCCACCCAGGGCCCAGGGTTTGGTCACATGTATCTTCTCCCAGCCAGACAAGCATCATGAGGAGGCTGTTGGGCTCTCTGCTGGGACTTTTGTGCACCCAGGTTTGCTGTGAGTTGGAATGTTCCATGTTCAAGACCCTGAAAGGGTTTCACAGCTGCAGCTATGGAAGGGAGGGAGGAAATGGAGCTCAGGAGTCCCACAGACTTTCTATCCTCATAATCCATGGGTCATTTTCAGGGCTTTGTAGCATTGCAGTGACCATCACTTGTGACTGTTTCTCTGTTTCTAATCAGGTGTGAGAGGGATGCAGGTGGAGCAGAGTCCTTCAACCTTGATTCTCCAAGAGGGAAACAATTCCACCCTGCAGTGCAATTTTTCTTCCTCTGTGAACAATGTGCAGTGGTTTCTCCAAAATCCTGGAGGACGCCTCATCAACCTGTTTTCCGTTCCTTCAGGAACAAAGCGGAATGGAAGACTAACGGCCACAACAGTCACCAAGGAACGCCGCAGCTCACTGTACATTTCCTCTTCCCAGACCACAGACTCTGCCACTTATTTCTGTGCTGTGGACCCACACTGCTCCCCAGGAACTTGTAGCCCATACACAAACCCTCAGCTGGGTGGAGCACCTTCACAGCCACAGACACCACAAGACCACCTCAGCAGCATTTGTTGTTCAGTGTCTCTTACCTACATTGGCAGTTTTACTCACAAATATTTTTGCCCGTAGGTTTGAGAATTTGTTTTTTATCTTCCATTCTCAGTCTATAACCTGAATTTAGCAGAGTAGCTGATAGGAGGACTTGCTGAAAATAGATACCACACTACAGGATATCAGGTTCCCATAAGACTAAAAAGAAAAGGAATAAAAAGAAAAGGAAGTCATTCAGATACAGGTGTTATTAACAATGATATGGCTTAGTTGAGTGTCTCAAGTGCTTTCATGTCTGCCTCACTATTTGTTCCCAGAGGCAAAAGCAAAACTTTACTTGTAGCTCATCTTACCAGTGCAGCAGGAAAAGAAACCCTTCACTGAATGTTCATGTATGATAAACAGAAGTGGGGCAAACATTGATATGTATATTCCATTTATCTAATTCTCACTCATGTTCTTGGAACTTGTGTGGTCCAGTCTCTCCTGAGAAGGCTCCCTGAATGATTGAGAAGTTATGCTCTGTTGTTGTGTGGACAACTGGCAGAGCTACTTGCTTTATAGTATTGCTCAATTCTTCTGATTCCTTCTTCTTATTCTGTCCAGTTATGCTATCTATTATTGAAAGCAAGACACTAATATCTCAATCTATTATTATTGAATTGTCTATTTCTCCCTGCAATTCTGTCAGATTTTGGTTCATATATTATGGGGTACATTTTTAGGTGCATGTATATTCATGCTATTATGTTTTCCTGATTGACTGGATTTTTCTTATTAAAACTAATCCATCTTATCTCCAATAGCCATTTTGGTTTAAAGTATATTTCATCAAATAATAGTAAAGCACTGCAGCTCTCTTATGGCTATTATTTACAGGATGCATTTCTAATCCTTTTAACTTATTTCATATGCCTAGTTTGGATATGGCATATCTTCCAAAGGCCCAGGTGTTGAAGGTTCAGCTGCCAGCTTGGGCATTATCAGGAGAAGGGCCTGTGGGAGGTCTAAGTCATTGGGAGTTTGCCCAAAAGGGGGATTTTAAGACACTGGCTCTTCCTCTCTTTCCTTCCTGACCCTCAGAAGATGAGTAGGCTCCTCTGCCATGTGTGCCCACTGGAAAGTACTGCCTAACGACAGACCTAAATGCAATGAGGCTAACCATGGACTGAGAACTCCAAAACTGTGAACCAGAATAAACCTTTCCTCTTCTTAAGTTTACTATCTGAGGTATTCTGTTGCTGGGACTGAGTGCTGACTCTCTCACAAAGCCCTGACAGGAAATGACTAACACCAACACCAAACTGCTTGGATTACTGCTCTTTACAACTGGTCCTGGGAGGGTGAGTTCTCCAGTACATGTCCTTTGAAACACTGTTTTGATTATTCAAGCATCTTTGCATTTCCATACAAATTATAGAATCAGTTCATTCATTTATATAAAAAAAGAGTACTGGTAATTTGAATAGTAGTACATTGAATTTATGGAAGATTTTGGGGAACTTAGAGCTAATGAATTTCTAACACAATGGCATATCTTGATGCCTATGTCACATTTCCACAGTCTTTCACTTTCCTGGCTATATATAGAGTCCCAACCTATTCCTCCAGATCCACTTGAGACCCACTTCAGTAGATGGTGGCAAGTGTTTCATTGCTGATCTCAATACAAGCAAAGTCCCCCTCCATCTGTAGAGATCATGGGCCACAGAGGAAGACAAAACCACTTTCCTCAGTGCTTTGACTGATGCAGGGGCTGCTTCACACAACCTTGTGCTGAACAGAAGCTTCTAAGAAGCTGGAAGAAAATGTCGAGTGTAACCTCACTCTATGTCTGCAGAGAGGTGATACTGTTTCAGAAAAGTTCAAAGATGGTCTCTCTTACATGTATGCCTCAATTAACAAGAGGTTATCCTTTAAAACCTAGTAAATTATTGCCTCCTACTCTGCTTCAATTGATTTAGTTATGAAATACACATCTAAGATATATCTATTTATGTAAATACTCTGTGTTTATCTTGTCTTATGAGGTTAAAAATCTGACTTTGGAAAAGGAACATTTTATGAAGATACGAGGTGTCCTTCAAGATCAGGGCCACGTTACTTTATCTATCATAAATTTATTGTGTTTTCACCCATATATGATTCAGTGTCCAGCCACAGTGATGTGACCATTTCTAGAACTCCCTTATACACTTTCCTTTGAGGAATCTTCTCAGTTTAAAGCCTAGTCCAACCATATTCTCCACCAGAACCCTTTTCTGACTGGGCCCTTTTCATCACTCTCCTTTGTCATCTTGTCTAGACCCACAGGTCTCTTTGGTGCAATTTATCTCACTGTGCTTGAGAGTTGGAACTGGGTTGAGTGAAGATTGGGACTGTGTCTTTTATCAATGAGACCCATGTACTGCCCCATCTAGAAGGCAGTTAGTCAATACACTACACTTCCTCCTTGTCCTCATATTCATTGTCTATATTTTCAGGTACCCACAAGCAATCATGGTATGAAGATATTAAAGAAAGATTTAGCAGTAAACAATTAATGAATTTTAAATTGCACACCATTCTGAGTAGCATGATGAAGTTTCCTGCCATCCTGCTCCACACCATCCAGGACACGAGTCATCACTTTGTTGAGCGTGTCCATGCTGCATCTCCCACCTGCCTGTTGGTCATTTAGCAGCCATCTTTATTATCAGAATGACTGTCATGTATCACAGTTCTGTGCTCAAGTGATCTTAATTTTACTTAATGAAAGGACCCCAGAGTGCAAGAGTAGTTCTGCTGGAAATGTGGATGTGAAAAGAGAAACTATAAAATGATTTCTTTGGACAAAAGAGTGAAACCATTCAAAGGTCAAGGTCCTCCAGACATATCATTCCAGTACTTCCTAATATTTTCACGATTACAGTCTTAGAAATATTTAATTTTCTTGATTTTTATAAGAAATTCAAAGAAGTAAACTTTGATTTAATTACTTTTGTCATTTCTGATTGTCATGTAATGTATACACACACACACACATATATATATATATATATATATATATATATATATATATATATATATATATATATATATATATATATATATATGTATATATATGTCTCTGGAGACAGAAGGGGAGTCTGATAAAATCCCAGAGACATCCTAGTAACCTCCTTTTGGGGTAAAACCTTGACTGTCAGGTTAAGGGAGTGGAGTGGAAGTACTGTGCTATGTGACAATGAGAGCTGAGACAGAGCCCAGCTGCTAAGCAAAAGCAGAGTACAGATCCACAGGTCCATGGTGAACTCATTGGTACATGGTGAGCCCAACAGGGCCTTTGGTCTGGGTCTTATACACACTCACTATGGTTAAGAGATTCCTAAATCCCCATGAAGGGAGCAGCCAGAGATGGATGAAACAAGTGGTGTTATTTGTTTTCCCCTGTGTCCTGCAGAGAACCCTTTACCTGTTCTCCACAACCCTCAACCCTCTGTTTCTGTCTCTGTCTTGAGATCTGGTAACAGGAAGAATGGGTGGAAGACAGAGTAAAAACAGCCCCCTAGAGAGTATGCTTAAGAACTTTAAAAAGGAATTTAATAGAGATTACAGAGTCAAGCTGACTTGTGACAAACTTAGGATCTTCTGTGAAATACACTGGTCTGTTTTTGGTGTAAGATAGCAGTCGGAAGGGTCATTATATAAGGTCACAGTCAATAGAGTTTTTGAAGTGGTTGTAGGGTATCCTGAACACCCAGATCAATTTCCTTATATTGACTGCTGGTAAGATGCAGCCCTCAGTTGGCCCACATGGGTAATGCCTACCTAGAGAAAGCATGTAGGGTCTTCCAAGTGCAGGGAAAAATGTAAAAAGCCAGAGAAACCCATATTAGCAGGGGATCCTGAGGAGACCCCACCCCCTTATGTGCCATTTTACCCACTGCCTTCTGCCCCTTCACTTCCACCCTCAGAAGGGGAAGCAGCATCAGATGGGGAAGCCCCAGCAGAAAATACACCTACAAGGCTAGATGCAGGAGTCCTTGAAACTGCAAGAACCTCATCGTCCTCAGCCTTATGAACCTCATGCTCACTCCAAGCCCACTAGTCCTCACTCTGCAGCTCCCTGTGAAACTTCTCCCTAGCTCCAACCAGGAGCATTTGAACAGTCTGAATATGAGCCTAGCCTGTCCTCCAGAATGCACCACCCTGCAGATGTCCCCAAGACAGGCCCAGGGTCTTATATATTATGACTAACATGGTCAGATACAAGGAGGTAAACAGACATTTGTCTACCAGCCCTTTACCACCACAGACTTCCTAATGTGGAAGCACCGTACTCTCTCCCTCATGGAAATGCCTCAGGTTCTGATTGATATAATGCAGTCCATCATGCAAACTCATAAGCCCATGTGGGCAGACTGTCAACAGCTTCTTCTGACACTATTTAATACTGAGGAGTTATGCCATATAACATTGGTGGCTTTAAAGTGGCTGGAAGACCATGCCCCTATGGGCACTTTAAATGCCCAAGCATATGCTCAGGGCCAGTTCCCCAAAGTGGACCTTCATTGCAACCCTAATGATGACCGAGATTACCAGCTCTTGAATGGTATTAGGAGGCCTGAAGGAAAGAGGGAAAAAGGCCACGAATTTGAGTGAGAAAACAGAAGTCCTCCAACGTCCTGATGAGAGCCCTGGCCAGTTTTTTTGAGCAGCTACGTGAGGCCTCTCATCTCTACACACCTTTTGACCCAGAGGTGTCTGAAAACCAGAGGATGATTAATGCAGCATTTGTCATCCAGGCCCAGAGGGACATAAGGCAAAAATTACAAAAGATTGAGTGGTTGCTTGTATGAATGCCAGCCAGCTTCTGGAGGTGGCCACAAAAGTCTTTGTCAATTGAGATCAGGAGGCCAAATGGGAGGCCAATAAAAAGATGAAAAGGAAAGTTGTCCACCTTGCTGTGGCTGTAGCTAAACAGTTAGGTAAACCCTGGTGTGCAGGCTATGGCAGACAAAAAGCCAAACCCTGTGGACAGTGGTCATCACCCTTGGAATGGCCTCACTATAGACAGGAACTATGGTGAGAACAAT